TGAAAGCAGACTTTTTTGATTACATTTTGGTTGTCTATGCTTGCATGTGTGTAGTGTATATAGGGAGGGGTTACATAAAGATCAGGGCAGAGCACAAATGGGAGCTGTTCTTTCCAGATTTTATACGTTGCTTGAGTAACAAAAAATTAACTGCGCCCAACTTGGTAAACTCCCTTCCCTCTTTGTTCATATTCACTCCAGTATATCCATCATTTTTGATCCTCTACTGATTTCCATTGTTGGGGCTTATTTTCTGTGACTTGAGAACCTGAAATTACACTATATATCTTTGTAGTTCATTGAACTAACCGGCATTTATTTTAATTTAGTAAGGAAACATTTGGCTGGGTGTAACCAAATAAATACTGTGTCTAAACCAACACAAATATACTTTGCACAAGGCTATAAACCTGTCTCAGAGCTCTAATGATATTGCAAGTCAATGAAGCTTCAGTGTTCTCATTAGCATGATTCCATCAGACTCTATGTTGCATATTATTAATTTTTAACAATAGATTGTAATATAATTTATAGCACTGTGGGGCAACAAAGGCTGGATCCTGGTAGCAGGATTTAACCTTTTAGGTTGATAATGGCTTTAAAACTGACCTCATATTGAAAGAACACCACGTACAGGGGCCATCAGACCTAATTATAAATAGGACAACAGGGATAAAAGTCATCACTAGTCTGTATCATTGAAAACAAAACTTTCCTTGAAAGAAAGGGCACAGATCTGGTCACAAGATTATGAAGAGTTTTGCTGCTGATTTTGATACAAAAAAGTAATCAAAAACTTTGTTTTAAAGAAATACATTAACACACTATTCCTGGAAAAGGAATAAAGTACAGAATAGCTGATGTTAATCTGTGTACCTATTCTTTAACTCAGTTTGGAAGTAAGAACAAGCATATTTTTATTAAGAAAAAGCATGCCTTTCAAAATCTCTGTGAAAATACACTAAGCTGATGACATTAGTACCTTTGCATTGTTCCTCTTCACAGGTTGCTGATGCATGATAGTGAACACAACTGGTTTCTGCTACAGATTGTGGTCCATGAAATGTGTTTAAACCAAGTAAGAGTAACTTCTTGTGAAAGGCAGCACAAAACCATTTCCTGGTTAAACAGCATTCTCGTCATCAAAATATGCTTCAGTATTGCTTATACGTATTTTCTAATTCAGTCTTTTGTGCTGTATCTAGAAATACAGTACAGCAGTAATAATATAATTAGTATTTTCACTAGCTAAATTATAGAGTTGGCTGCAGCATAAAGCATAGTAGCATCAATATTATCAGTTAAATATTACACAAAAACGACATCAATAGTTTTAGTCAGGAGACATAATAATTTCCTCTTTCTCCATGATCCCTTTAAATTGTATCAGATAAGGAAACTCACAAAATACACTGCCTTTTGGTTCAACTCCAATTCTAAAAATCAGCATCTCCAAGATTTCTTAAGTAAATTTTTTTAGGTTCTTGAACGATATTCCTTTCTGAATATGGTATTAGTTATAAAGACCTTAAGTTCTGCTGCATCGATCTCTCATATGAATTTAATTTTCCCAGCACTTCTGTAAGTTAACAAAGGAGTATAACAGATACTTCACAGATGAAGATGATGAATCATAGGGATTTGTAATAATTATCCAAGACCATAAAAGCAATCCTATGTCAGTGCAAGAAGTGGAACCACTGGCTTTGCAATCCACTCCTACTCCATATTTCCTTTCTACCCTGGCCACATAGGGAGATCTAAAACTCCAACAACCACGATACTGGAAACCAAGCAGCCATTAAGGAAGATATTGAGGCAAGCATTCCTTCATAGATTCCTCACCTGGTGAGACAACAGTCCAGCACCCCTACAAACCCAGAAATCAGAGGACTTCAGTTTATACCAAAGTATAAAAGGTTATCCCATGGCATCCTCCGTGCATAAAACTCCCCTTTGGCCAAGCTAATTCACAACCCCCTAGACCGAATCAAGAACACTGAAGATCTACTCACGCTCTATCCACTTCCTAATTACAGTAACTTTATGCTTTACTTCACAAAATGAGATTCATTTCTTCCTCCACCAGTTCCATTCAGCTCCTTCAACATTTTGTTCATTTGTTTGTTAAGATGCAGATCTACAGCAGATTGATCGCTTCAGATGAGACAAAGCACTCCCTTGGTAAATCCCTCTGGAAATGCAGAACATATTATATACACAAGAGTTGAACTCCTTGAATTTCCCCTTTTCAGATCCTCTAGGTTTCCAGTCATTCAGATAAAGAATGGAGCTTTTGTAGGCCAGTTAATCCATCCACTGAATGAAATATGGTAAAAGTTTTACACATCCACATGTTCTTTCAAGGCCCTGGTTTACATCTGTAGATATAATAATAACTGTAGTAATGTAGACAAAAATCATGGCTCAGGCCCCCAGAGAAGATCTTTAGAGACTTGGGTTGAAAAGTCCCAACGCTGCAATCAAAGGAATCGGCAACATGATTTAAGGGCTGTCTCCGCTTACATTTATTTCTGCCAAAGCAGTGGCTTAATTTTCTTTGTGTGTCTTAATAAGCCACCTCTGTGAGAGGGACTCTTACTTGAAATGCCTGTATGTCCTAAGCTCAGAAGTAGGCACCATTGAGTGGTAAGCTGAGAAAAACATCCAAAGCGGGTGTGAGGCCCAAGCTGCAAAATGAGCCTGTTGTTCATCTTCCCTAGCATCACAGTCACAAACTAGCCATGAAAACAGCATTTGAATGAATTAAAATGCAAATCTACATTTTATTATATGAAATTGAGACAAATGATACACAATTGAAGGCTGCCAGGGTAGTTATTACACAGTTTTAGATGATGACTTAAGCCAAATGAAGGAATGGAAGAGAAACACCGCAGAAACACTTTGAGAAACACTACAGTAAAAAAGCAACTCTTGCCATAGTTACATTGATAAGCCTAAAATACAAATTAGCAATAATTCTGCTGTAAAGGTCTAGATCTGCCTTGTGCAGACATGTACCCCCATGGAAGCCTCCAGCCACAAGGTGTATGCGCAATGCAGGGAAGCTGCCTGCCAGCAAGGGACAACTGAGGGGGTCTCAAACTACACAGGAGAGGACTTTGCACTGCCACAGCCTAATGGGATGTGGCATTGTCCAGGAGTCCTGTGACAAGAGGCCAAACAGCCATTGGCCTAGGACAGAACTGCCTAGCCAAAGTAAAGATGTATTTATGCTAGGTCTGATTTAGACTGTGCTCTACACAGTCAGATTGCTTTGAAGGTTTGCCTTGTGCAATCATTTCCTTTGTCAGGAATCAGAAAAAGACTGTGAAAAGACTGTGAACAAATTGTTTAGGCATTGAAATTTAACCCTGTGGAATCCTTACAGTGTAGCACAGTGTGACACAGCAGGAGCACATTTGTCAGGGGACTGAAGCCTCTTTGCTCTCTCTGCACAAAACATATACATTAGCATTGTGTGGTGTGGGTGTGCTCCAGAGCACACCAGGCAGCTACGGGTACACACAGCTCCATGCCTCTGCTGCCTCCCATCTGCACTCAGCCCCCCGCACCATTTCTGCTCTGCTAGGGAAAATAAAGGCCTCAGATCCTTCAAGACTGTCTGGAAACCCTTCTATCACATTTTCTTTCAGGGATTGGGCAAGATTTAATTTTTAAATATCCATAATGCATGTTAGAATAAAAAAGGCATTTGGTAGAACCTAGTCAGTTCCAAGGCTCTTCACGTGATGTGGGCTAAGGAAAGAACTCAGCTGGTGTGGTTTCTGTAGCAGCATTCGTGCCACCAACAGTTTCTGTCTGTTAGGCTCCATACAGCAAGGTACTGTCCATCTCCTGCTCCTCTTGAAGAGCAAAGTCTGAGAGCACCAAGTACCTCACAGCAGGAACACATACATTTCTACATTTCTGTAGAAATAAACCTTAACACCAGGTAGCCCACCAGTGTTTCTGTGAACTGTTGAAATATACGCTGACAAGAATAAAAGAAAATTGACACTTGGAAATTGGCAAAGAAAAGCCACTGTAAATAATTTTCAACTTAATAAACTGAAAAATAAGTCTTGGCAATAAGTCTTTGCTCCTGTTTCACAAAAAGAGACAATCCCTGTTTTATAAACTCATTCAGTTATATGTTTAAGAAAGTAGACAAGTTGCTCTCATGCAGAGGTTTTCAAATATTGCCTTTCCTTGTGGCTGCCAGTATTTCAACATCCCGTTCCAGAAACACTGTTTATTACTTTGTGGGGAAAAAAAAGAAAGAAAAAACAAGACAAAACACACACACAGAACTGTTGCATACAAGGAAAAATGTGGTTAGAACAAAAAATGGTTAATGACAGTTACATATTAGGGAAGACTACAGGGTTGTTTGCTGCTCCTTCCTGCTGCAATACACCAGAGGAGTAAGTAAAATGTAAAAGTCTTTTCACTCTTCACAAGAAGGTAAAAATTATTCCAGGATGTTCTACAGACAGGCAAGAGCTCATACCTCCACGTCAATGTGATCTGCAGCTTCAAGACTAAGTTCCAAGTATGTTTCAACTCAATTCTGCAGCAATTTCAGCTCTTGAAGGATAAATCCTAAGCCGCCTTAGTCCCATCACTCAAATCAGTGGGACTCAAGTGTCCTCAGATTTCCTCTGAATGTCCTCAGAACTTTGGAACAGTGTTCCTGCAGCCAAGCAATTCTTCTGAGCCACACAGATGTGCTGGTGACCCACTAAGAGCCGAAGCTCCCAGGGTCCTTCCCTTTGTGTGCACAGAAGTTCTAAGTTTACTCTGTCCTTTTCGAGAGGAACGACACACACCTCAAACAGCATATTGCTACTTTCCTCTACAGTGAATCTTGCCTTAATTAGGGGGATTTTTGCAGAAGATGTACTACCTGCCATATACTATCATATCATGCAGAATGTACTATCATATCATGCATGTACTATCATATCATGCAGAATTCAGCCCTTGCATCATCATCAGATCTGATTATTTATTTATTTATTTATTTTGCTGCTAGAAACATGTTTGGAGGTGCAAAATCATATCACTTTACTTTCTCAAAAGTAGAGCAGGAAATATCTCAGTGCAGAAAGAATTCCATAATTAGAAAAGGCACAGAGGCCAGCTTTTTCCCCCTCATCAAGACTGGGAAGCTTTAAACAATATGCAAAGGCAAAAAGGGAAAATGGTAATAGTACTGAGAAGGCTAAAATTTGAATGAGATAACAAACCTTTCTTGTGGAAGGAAAAGGAAATGACTGATTCTAAAAAAGCTTCTGTGATAAATCATCACCCCTGCATGAAATTCCATTCATATATGCAGCAATATCTGGTAGCAATGTTAAACAAAAAGGAACAAAAACTTAGGAACAAACAAGTTTATAAAGAACAAAATATAGCTTGCTGGAATTGCTGAGCTCTTTCAGTAGTTCAAACAGTGGAAGGAGATTTCAGAATCAAGCAAGACTTTCAACAGCTGTATTTGTATTACAGTCATAAAGGCATAAATGTGAAATGCAGATCTAATAAAACACTGAAGTTTATAAAACCGGTTGGTAACTTTCCACCCTTTCCAGAAGTATCTCAGGATATCCAGGGGAATAATACCTGAAAGAGAAACATTTTGTTTGTGTGTTAGACTACAAGGCATGTTCTGTCTGGCAAAGTAATGAAACACTATGCATATTTCTACTGATCAGGAAAAAATCCTAGCATTAAACACTGGTCAAGGAATTCTACAATTATTCCCCCACAATGTTTTAAGAGCCTGCTTTTCAACTTACATTACCATTTATACTCGGAAGTTAGGTTTTCAGAAACACGTTTAGCTTCTTTTAGGGCATGTAGGTAAGTGGCTAGGCTTTAGATGGGTTCAGCTGCCATAAGCATTGTCTTTACTAAGGAATGTAGATGTTAAGTTCTTTTTAAATTATGGTCTTTAATAAAAAAGCAGAAGTTTACACAGAACTGTAGGCTGCCAGATGACAACAGTCTGATGCTGTTCACCAAACGTAAGCTCACATCCCAAAGCTAATGGGAAGTCTACATCCATATGTGTGAGAGACATTGATTCTGGAACAAAAAAATTTATCACAATGACCCTCTCTCTCTCTAATGCCAACTCAAGGGTGGGGATTATCCAGTAGGTTTTCATCAGAGTGGGACTCTATGGTGCCATTATTGTCCTGCTGTCATCCAGCTGTTTTTCCAGAAGGGACCAACTACATGCTTTCAATATGCAAGCATCAAAGTTGCGTTTAGTTCTTGTTTTCCAGGTTAAGATTATCTGAAATTTATTACTGTATTGTTCTAAAGACATACATCTCCATTTATTTCTGGTTTTGCAGGCATGTAAATTGCCACCTCTGACCACTGAAAGCCTCAGCTGTAGAGATGAACACACCTCCATGTAACGCATGCCTAAAATATATTCAAGTAAAAATCCCCAGTGTTTTCCATTGAGGGAAGATTCATTTACCCTGTTGATTTTCATTTTCTGGATGGTTTCAACGTAATTTATCTCTTTTCAAAACTCATATTAGTTCTCCAATTGTAAAGCTAACTTTCCAATGCAATACTATATACACTCTGCAAACAGCCTAAAATAACAGGTCTGCAGGACAAACCCTGAGCTGGAGTCTATCGTAGCTGCTCTGCCTCAGGCAGCACAACCAACATCAGGCAGTGGCATAGAAAGGCAAGCAGGAGACGCTCAAAGGGGCCTTTTTCTTAATTATATCCCAGCCTAGATGATGTTTTTCATTTACAGGGGGAAAAATAGCTGTAACAAAGAAACATTAATGATATCCAGAAAAACATAAGCAAATGTCCTCTTTCCCTCTGAAGTACTGGCTGCAGAATAAAGTTTCTTTATGATTTTGCCTTTACCCATTTGACAGCCACTGGCTCTTCCTTGTGGAGACCAACAGGGCTTCATTTTGTGTGACTTAGTTTGTAGTGACTATTAGCTGAAGAACTCTGCTGCTATAATTAAAATTGATGATGCAGATTTTCAGAGCCTGTAGAGGGAGTGCACGAGTACAACATCCTTTTGATGTGTTGATGGAGTGAACGACTGGTAAATGGATATCTAGAATCTAGGAGGGCATTTCTCTCATTATTACAATTTAGGATGGTGACATTTTGACTGTAAGCTATTTAATAGTGTTTCTGTATTCATTAAGGGCAAAGTTCAACTTGGTGCAGACAGCTGGTGTATGGTCCTTTTATATAACACTTAAGCCTCATGATGAGGCTGGGGGAGGAAGGGCAGCTGTGGGCAGACCAACTGTGCAGGAGAGCCTCTGGACCCTCTGTACATCAGAGGCAGTTTCAAAGGAGCCTCTGAATACACTAGTTCAAACACACAATTAGGAAAGTCAAGGATGCAACCAAAGGTTCACCAATACCTGTATTTTGGAGCCTAAGTGATCCAAAAATAAGTCACCAAAATAAACTTCCCACAACATTCATTAATACGAGAGTATTATCTGAAGTAGGATTCAGAGTTCATCTGGGTAGTGCAGGACTGACTTTTCTTTCCACTTTCCTGCAAGAGCCTAATTATTTGGGCTTTGTTTACAGACAAAGAAATTTGATTCCAAATACAATCCAAAAAGGAGAAAGTGTTCTAATGTATGTGTCTAGTGGTTCTGTTACCATTGGGGTAATCAACCAAATGTTACACTGTTCTATTAAAAAAAAATTCATATAAAAGTTAAGTTACTATTTAAAATCCTTCTTTTGTGTTGCTCCTGTGAAAAACATTTAATAATAAGTACGAATTTTTTAAATTTCATTTTCCCTACCTTACTATTTCCTCTGGATAGCAATTGTTAATAGTATTGATATATTCCTGAAGAAGTGACCCAGGTTCTGCTTTTATTTCTTGAACCTTTTTAAGTCCGCCAGTTGTTACAAAGAGACGACGTGCTTTACTGTCATGTGGTAACACCTACACACAGAATAGCACATTAAAAAAAAAGAGTATTTTCTTTTAAATGAATCGGTATGCTACCAGGCTCAAATATTGCTAATGTGTTTTTAATTCAGAGGACAGATAAAATGGAAAATCAGAGATACATAATCTGTAATGACTACTGTATTATAACACCCAGTTGTACAGGGAAAAAAAATCATAAACCAGCCCTTTATGGTTACAACATAATTTAACATGTACTTTAATACATAACATATATAAAATAATGAATTGAATATTTATCCTTACATAAATAATATTTCTTGAATTATTCCTACAGAGACAATAAGATCGTGGAGATTAAATAGATAATAAAAACAGAATACTAACATGGAATAACAACAGAATCTGTTCCACTTAAACCAAGTTATTCAGGTCTTTTATGTCAATTCCCACAGTTTAATTGTAGAGCTGAATTTTATATCATTATAATGATCTAGTATAGATTAGTGCATGAAAACAATACTGAGAATTGTTGCAAGTGAACAATGCAGCCTTGAAGCATTACATGCAACTATTAAACTCCTAGATATTAAAATCCTTTAACACACTGTGTAGCCATGGAAGCCTTTTACAAACACACACACACAAAGCAAAAACGTGAAGTTTCTGCAGCCAAAGGGGATGAGAAGCAGAAATGATCAGACAATAAGATTCTGTGCTCCCTGAGTGATGCCAATATGCAGCTCTGTCCAAAGGACTGGAGGGAAGGAGGGAGGGAAGGAGGAAGGTGGGGGCTGGGCCAGGCAAGGGAGAATGACAGCATGCAGTCCATAGGCCCACAGGGCTGCAATAATATTAAAAAAAAAAAAAAAAAAAAAAAAAAAAAAAAAAAAAAAAAAAAAAAAAAAAAAAAAAAAAAAAAAAAAAAAAAAAAAAAAAAAAAAAAAAAAAAAAAAAAAAAAAAACACAAAAAAACCACACCACCAGAAAACTGAAAAAAAAAAGACAGAAAGATGATGCAAGATGGCAGCTGCATCTACAGCAAAACCAGATGGGTTTAAAACCAACTCTGAGAGTTACAGACTATGAGGGCAAAAGCATGTGTAAGCTTTAACACTGGTCAGACAAATTAGGCCATAAATTTGACTGTATTTCAGAGTAAAACAAGAGCCTCAGATGAGGAAAGGATTGCCTAAAAGGATGAAGGATACAGGCATGCATACAGGCAAGCAGCCTTCATTTCTCTGATCCCTCCAGGCAGTACAAAATCAACAGACAGGTAAAGAGAAAAAGGAGGGCACAGACTTCTCCCTAATATATGCTCCATAGAAGTGTCAGGAACAACTATGATCTTTTTATCGTGGGAACTAAACAGACGTGTGTTTTCACATATCTCCCACAACAAGAACTGCCAAGGAGGAGCTAGCAAGGAGACAGGATATGGCCCTTTCCCTGCCTTCCTCCTCCACACTGTGACTCCGAGGCTGGATAAGACAGCAGAAAACTCTTGAAAGAGGCCCTGAAGACAGACAGCACCTCTGAGACACAGTCCCTTCCCCCAGTCCAAACCGAGGCAGCACAGAATAGCACAGTTCCTGAAAACTCCAGCAGTCCAACACTAAGAATGGATAGCATCCCACTCTGAAGCACAGCTTGGAAATAAGGTTTTTACTGTGCTATAAATAAACCCACAGAATACACCACAGCTCTAAGAATAGGAAATTCCCAAGCTATGGTACAGGGGAGAAAAATGCTTTTACTGCAGAGAACTTGATTTTAAAAGTATACTTCAGAAGAGTAAACAAGCAGAGTTTGTTTAATAACATATAGACAAAGAAGAAAAACCAAACAAAGCATCTGTTGATATGAAGGGCACAAAACCACTTCAATAGCAAGCAACATTCAAATATACCCTGAATAACCAATTGCTAGGCACTTGGCTCATTAATAGCTCCAGTCAGCACGCAAAAGTGAAATTCTGCAAATCTCCAGTCTTCATACAGACTCAGCAAGAAGACAGGACAAACCCAACTGTGGCAAGGCAATGTAATCACAAATCTGCACTGCCAACTGGAGTGCTTCTATATTCTGTAATAATCAGAACCGAGTATCAAGAAAGTTTACCTGGTCATTTCCAGAAAGAACATCTCACCAACTGAGCAGGTACTCCCTGCTATGTTACACTGCAGAGTGTTGCACAAAAGATATTCTACAGCTGAGCAGGATTCCCAACAGCAGCAAACACTGCAAATCTCCTGATTAGTTAGCAATTACTTATATAATTTTAAATATTTTTATTAAATTGTATAGCTTTCTACATGCTGCATTCAAATCAACAATGTAATTTTCAAACTTGAGAGAGATGAGAAAAAATTTGGGATTTTTACACTACTTGAGACTGAAAATTAATGAGGATAAAACTAGCGAAGCCTTTATATTATTGTAAAATACCTGACTTAAGTCACTCCTGTACAGACAGCTTGTTCTTTATCTAAAACAGATGTGACTGGGATTTATGTGATACATTGGCTCAGTGAAAATATTTGCACGTGAGTTAATATTCCACTTAATCTCAAGAGGCAAGGAAGAAAAAAACCACCTTGCTTATAAGCAACTGTTTTCCCACTCATAGGATGAATTATGGCAGATTCCAGATGAAACAGTATCCAGCTGTATCAGACAAAAGAACAGGATGCTCCAAAATGCTTTTGAAGGGAATGCTTGAGAATCCTTAAAGAAAACAACTATTAAAGAAAACAACTGGTAACTTTAGAGACTTCATCTTTGGAAAAATAGGTTCCTTGCTAAATGGGGAAAAATTAACATATTATTCATCCAGCAGAGCCTTTTCTTACCTTACTAAACTGCCCAATAATATGTTTCATAATACTGGGAGGAGCATCATGCAGCAATGGTTCAAGTGCTGGAAGATGCGTGCATTTCTGAAGAATGTTCTTTAAGGCTTTTTTAGCCTATTGAAATGCAAAATAAAATTTCTCTAGTAAGACATCAACGAAAACAACAAGAATTCATGTTATATATCACTGAAGTCTGATCAAAAAAGCAAATTGATCAGAATTTTCAATGAGCAATTTCTGAATAAAAACTATGATATCTATCAGGCCACTTAATGAATAATCAATTTTCTACTTAGATTTATTAAGCCTCAAACCCCACAGTGCATCATATTATGTTATCTATGGTCAAAGTAATGGCAATTTTCCTTTGACTATAATGAAAGCTGGAGTAGACCCTTTAAGTAAATTGAAGTAATGTAATATAATAAGAAAGTTAAATCAAAACACATTTTAAAAGATTGTATTTTAGAAGTGGCTTACTATGAGAGGCTGCTGGTCTGGGATAGCAAAGTGCCATACTGTCCAGGCAAGGAGGGAAAGAGAGAGTGAAACAATTGTGCATTGGTGCTTAGTTTCTGAAAACAGACTCAATGTTCACTGCTACAAACAGTAGTGACCTTCTTGGGCAGGATTACAGGTACAGCTAATTTGGCCTCAATATTTTTGGGACCACTGAAAATTACTACAGGAAAGTTATTTTACAGATCTGGAATGTAATATTTCAGTGGAATGTACAGAAGCACAGTGCAACACGGGAGAGCATATCCAGTTGTATTTATACTCTTCATTGGTTCACTTACTGTTGCTCAAAAATACACTACTGAACTACAACTCTACTAGCTACCGCACAACGAAGGCCCTAAACTTGAACAGTTGCATATTTTCAAGAGCAGAGCTTTTGATTAGCTGTTACAGTTTTCTTATAATTATAATAATAAAAATGTAAGAAAAACCACTACAGCAACTATAATATTTTCTACAAGAGCTTATACTTGCAAAGAAGAAGTAGATAATTAGAAACAAGTCACAAGAAATTATAGCATTTATGGGTGTATGCAACTCTGATCTAAACTGGGAAAAAAAAATAAGGCACTAGACTGCAGTGGCTGTACCGTATGATTTGGTATGAACCATATGCACACCCATTAGGAACCAGCCAGTCCTAATAAATGACACACAGCCTTCAGATACCCTGCACCCAGGAAATCTGTGACTCGATGAACATCAACAAAAACACATATCATTTAGTAGTTTTTAAGCACTTAAACCTCTTAATTACAATTAATTAATCACACTGAAAATACTGCAAATATACTTGCTTTCATTTTAAGATCTTCTGAACTGCGTGTGTCCACATAGATATCGAGCAGTGTGGGTAGCACGTTTCCTCCTGCAACATGACGTGCATGCTCAGCAGTGTGTCTTCCAATCTGTCCCAAGGCCCAAGCAGCTGCTGCCTTAATATGATCTTCATGTTCTTCTATCAAGCAGGCACACAGTGGTGGTATTCCCTGTAGCATTAATCAAAAGCACAACCTTTACAAATGTAAACCAGGGAAGGACAATGTGAAACCAATACAGATGGTTAGAAAATGTTTCTCTATTTACACTCTTCTTGTAAAAAACCCTGTAAGATAATGCATGCTAGTGGTGTAATATTTTTGCATCATCAAGACTACCAATAATTTTTAATAAATCTTAATAAACACAGTTAAAGAAAGAGAAACAGATTCAATGTTCTAAGTCAGAAGGCAGTTTGAACGAACATGCAAATTTAAGGGATAAAAGGAATACAATGACACAATTCAGGTTGTACTGAGTAAAAGTTGCAGTTTTGTCAAACTGAAATAAAATAATTTTAGTGCTATGAAAGCAGTTTAAGACCATAAGGGCTCAATCACTGAGTCTTTTTTTTTTATTATCCACAGAAATAAATTTCAACTTATCAACCTCTTCTTAAGTCCCGTAGTTCATGGTTGACTCATCCAATCATTTTCAGAAAGGTTTCTACTCTTGATTTGAAGACATCAGGAGATGAAGAATGCCATTACACATCCAGTTGTTACTAAAGTTCTTCTGGTTCGGATCACAGTCTTTATCCTTCCTTCACAGCTACTTACTTTATGCCAAGGTGCTTCAACATGAAGCATTTCATGATACTTCAGGTAAGGCAAGGTTACTAAAACTCTATCCCAGAAACCTTGTTCTCTATCCCATGAATCGTTTTTAGTGTTTTCTGCCATTTTTCTGGTTTTGATTTGGTTTGGTTTGGGATTTTTTTGCAAGTCCTTTTCAAATACAGAGAGCAGAACTATATCCTCTACTACTACTGACAGATTAACTTCTCTTTTCCAATAATGCTTCATCTTCTACTCTAATACTGCTACAGCAGAAGACCACAATGAAGTGTTTGTCCAGTATGATCCCAAAAATCATTTTTCAAAATTCATCCTTTCCAGATTAGAGTGCAGCAGAATAGAGCTATCACTTTACATCACAACATCATCAATGTGTAACTGCATGTGGTTATGCCACAGTGCATCTCTTTTAAATGGTTCCAGTTTACCAAGCCCTGTCCTCAGCACTGTGTACCACTACACAAGCTTAGTTTCCCCTGAAGCAGGGTTTTTTAATGGGCTTTGGGTTTATTGTTGTTGCTTTTGTGGACCATTCATTAACATATTTATTTCATGAAAGTTTGCATGGATCCCTACAAAAGCCCTCACTGTGGTTCCATTCAGTTATGATAGAAATCATCACTATTCTTCAAAAATTTAACACTTAAAGGCTTCTCCCGGAACTTAATTCCTGGATTCATCCCACTTAATGACAAGCATTCAACAGCAGGAGCGTATTTGCTCTAGGCATCTCGGAAAGTGGAGAGACAGACACATCCAGAGAAGGGCCTCCAGAGAGGGCAAACAAAAAGTGTGTATTTCTTTAGTTTTAAAATACAGAAGAGCATTTTTTGATCCCTCCTACCCTCCCTGCATACTGTATGTTATGTTGTAGCGATTTTCAATTTTTAATTTGCATTCCTACTAGACGACATTTCTGTTCTTCATTTTTATTGTTTTGTTGTTTCTACTCATACATTTTAAGTGACTGACACAGTGTGAAAATGGGCCAAAAAAGTTAGTGAAATTATCTCCTTCTGTCATTAGTATTATTTACATCAGACTATTATATCAGGCACTAATTTCACCTATTGCAAATATGGCAAATTCTCTCCCTTGTATATCATGGTCCAGCAGATTTTATTTAAACCTGAAAATGTATAGCTTAGCTCATTTGAAATGTTACTTGCACAACTGAATCAAACACTAGAAATTGAAGTCTTTTCAAGTCTGAAGATTTCTGTTGCAAGATACCCTAGTGGTACTAGCAGAGTCATGCTAGTGCAATGCAGAACATGCCATTAAACATACTTGTTTCAAAAAAGGTTTTGATGTAGCCACAAATATTCATTTTAAGAGGAAGCAGACTATAGAAATTCACTGACTTATTATCTGTACCCATGCAATTGCAACACAGAAAAATCATGCACTGTAATACAAACTAATCCAGGATATTTTATAAAAGGTTCAACGTCGTAAGGACACACTTTGATCAGGTTACCACATCATTTCGGTCATAGCAAGCAGCATTATTAGGAGAAAGTGCATTCGTCAAGAGCAAGTATATAATCCTGTCACAAAATATATCCTCTGCCAATGTTAATTCGTATCTCTACCTCAGAATACTGCTGAAGAATTATACCAAGACAACAAAGTGATAGCTAACCTTGGAGACAATCACTGCCATTGACAGGTTCTCCGAATGAGCTGCTACATAACCAAGCATCATGATGCCAGGCAGTCTGACAGTCCCTCTGCAGCTGCCAATACAATCAATCACAGCAGCAACTCCGCCTGAATTTACTATAAGCTGTGAAAGCTGAAAAGATAAACAAAAGAGATTAGATACTGTGAAATATCAACAGGCATAAAGCACTACATTAGAAAAGTCTTTTAATGTATTGCTCCTAATTTACAAAATAAAGCTGGAATAAGAGCGATGTATCATTCAGACTGTTGGCAACTAAGTGCAGCATGAAGTTTTCAGGAATGAAGCTGATTTGCTACGGTGTTTTTGATTGACTTTACTGCAAGGAAATCAGGATTCTGAATTCGTTATGCTGTATAGCATGAATGACATATTCTCAACTCCATTACCATACACAGAAGTGTGCACATGACAGCCTAATACATGAATGATCATGAAGATGCACCTACTGAGCCAGTTCCATACTAGTGCCCACTCATTCCCCAGCTAATATCATGTGTTCTGTGCAGCAACAGAGGGAAAGACCCACTCCTCCTCTGACCTGCATTCTCCGCAGCACAAAATCCTTTGTGAATCCTCCCACTGGGGCATGAAGCCAAGGACAACTGTTCTGGATGTGCAAAACTGACCCGGGCTGCACCATTCTGCCATGTCAGAGTACTCTGAGGGAAGTGTCCAGGGAACACACTTGATGGGCAGTGGAGTCTGTCCCAGAATGCCAAATTATACAGCCTTATAAATGATAATCAAGCTATGCAACTTGGTTTTTTTTCTGAACAGTATCACTTCCCACATCACTTGAGGGACAGTAGTAGAGTATGTATGATATCAACAGTGCATAGAAATTATTTCGTATTATGACTATTTTTTCCATATTGTTAAGTATATCACATTTTCCCGACAGATTCCAAAGCAAAAGAAACATGTTCTTAAAAGTCAAAATTAAATTAACAAAACTGAGGCACATAAATGTCCAATTCAGTTGATTTCTATAAACATGAAATTCACCTTTTCCCCCGGAGCCGTTAAAAAGGGATTGTTTCATTCATAAAACAGCCAGACGAAATTTGCAGTTATTACTTAGGAAAAAAATGTTCACATGATTGTGAACTGCAGCCAGTGGCAACCAAGCCTTACGTCTGGGCACAGCCATGTTCGCTTGGTGCACAGAGCACACTCCCCACTGCTCTATCCCTCAGCCCTCGCTGTGAGTCCCCCCCACCGATGACCTTCACGTGAATTGTACTGCATATGCACATTGAGAGCCGAGTCTCAAATGACACAGCCAAGTCCTCTAGAAATATCATTTGCCAGTGTGCCTCTGCTGCAACATGTGTTGCTTGAACAGAGTTGCTCAGAGATGGACAGTGGTCACTGTCACTGAAGACAAACACAGATTGTGACTTTCCACTGGGAGTCACTTCCTACAGCTCCTTTGGAGAGCTGCTAGCATGGCCAGCTCCCCTTGCATGGAGGATCCGGTGCTAGCAGCTCTTCTCTACCTGCAGTCGTGTGAGTTCGGTCTCTGGCTTCTGACTCCCCCTTTGATAATGATAATTTCTTCACTTTTTTGAGTAAGTGAAGTTGCATTGCCCGTGAGGTACAGAGAAAAAGCAGGAAGTGTGCCAGGACTGTAACCTTTAATCACCAGCTTAAAGAGTGGCAGGCTGAAGAAACAGCACAATATTCATGTTTAAACACTTCTCAATTGTTAAGCTAGTATCATGATATTGAAATGACTGTGTTCAGCATTAGTGTGTCCTACAAATACATTGCTTGTATTTCATTCCAAAGTCATACTTAGAGCCTTTTAATTATCTCTATGGTCTGACAGATTAACATAGTTACAATTATTTGGTTTTCCTATTTATTTTGTATTGATTTTGCCAAACATCCCCACCTTCCTGTATCAGCTATTGGCAAAAATACTGCAAATGCTGAGACTAAAATTACAAACTCAAGCTAATAACATAAACTACCATCAGTTTAATAATAAATGAGAGAATTTTTGACCTTCATTGTCATTGAAAAAATAATTAAAATGTGATCCCAACACCCCAGAAGATTTTTAAGAAGACACACACCATCTATTATTGTTACAGGATGATCATGCAATTTATTAGCTGGTATCATCACTTCTGTGAGGCTTTTCTCATGATATTTTTAATATCTGGGACTGACAATACTGTCAGCCTAGAACTCCCTCTCTGTGCAGATATCTCATACAATGAAGTAGCTAGGTATACATTTTATGATTCCCAGTTTCCTAACCCCATTCATATTCAATACACATCTCATAATATCAGCAAGCATTTCCATATTTTCCAATGAACATGCCAAACAGCTATTTGCCCTCCCTTTCGAAAAGCAAATGACAGAATAATCCTGTATTTTATTTAAAGTGTAAAATCTAATGATATGACCTTGTATTTGCATTTTCAAGGTTTTACCTCAGGCGAATGCTTTGCTATCTCTCTAATTAAAGTTGCACCATTTTTCTTGACATATTCATCTGAGTCCTTCAGGCATGTGAGCACAACTGGGAAAATTTCTGCTTCAACCACCAACTCTGCAAGATCCACTGAATGCTTTGCTATTTGGCTTAGAGCTGACAGCACCTGACGCTAGTAAATAAAAATTGTTATAAAATCAATAGTATACAAACATCCCACAACACACACTCCCCCTGCACACAAAAATCTATTGCATCAAGGAAAACAAAGCAGGATAGGGAAAACAATTACAGCTATTTTACAATTCACTGAGTCAATTCATGCACGAATATAATGGCAGAGAACATTCGCTGGTTCCTGAATAAAAGTTTCTTTTTTGTTTTATCCCATTCAAGCTTGTTATGTATTAAAAAAGAAAAAATATATAAGCAATTTAAAACTTTCATTTAAAATTTAGTAAAATCTACAGAAAATATCTTTATTTGCATAAGTTGGATCTGTCAAATCTTATATTAAGGATTTTTTATCTATTTGTTTGAAGTGGCAAAGTGTTGTCTTCTGTTTCTGTTAGACTAAGACAGAAAATTTATATTAAGAAACAATTTTTTTCTCCATTAAACTCTAGTGATTAAATCTTTGACATTAACTATTGGATAGTACATTCTAAAATACAATAAATTTACTATTAACTGGTTTATTGTATAATCTTAAGTATGCAAAACCTTTTCTGTAACTGAAATGTGCAAATTTTATCTATTAAAGTATCTGTTGCATTCTTTATATACTATATATTTCTAAAAAAAAAAAACATACTATTCACTTTAAAGATTAGTTTAGCTGTTCCTTACAGAGCTGCAGTTTTTATCCTGTAGCTAAATTTGTGAATATAACCAGAACTCTTTGTCACTAACTACGTAGTTACATGTTGTTACCACCCAAACCAAGAGCTTCTAAACAAATATGCACATCAGTGTCTTTGATTCAGTATCGAGTAATGACTGGTAGAATGGAGATTTAAAAAAAAAAAAAATTAAATGTACCTTCAGTTTAGCATCAGGGTTCGGGATCATCTGAGCTAAGTGAGCGATAGCTCCTGCATCCACTACTGTCTGTGCTAACTCTGGAGAATGCTTTGAAATATCACTGAGAGTTGAAGCAGCAATCCTTTTCAAAGCAATTTCTGGCTCCTGGATACAGAGCACTAAAAGAGGAACAGCGCCTGCATCCACCACAGCTTGTGACAGTTCTGTAGGTCCAAGGAAAGTAATTAAGTGAGTATGGGTGACTGACCCTTGTGCAAGCCATTTTTCACCCTGACAGATACAGCAAAGGAAAAAGGGGAGGGTGTAGTTCACTGTCTCGACATCTGCATTTCAAATCAGCCCTCCTGGTTTCATAAACCGTGTGGACCAATCCACAACTGAAAAGAATGCAGGTCAATAGATGGACCCCCATTTACATGCACACATTTGAGGTAGATTAGGCTGAAATGGTTTGTTATTCTGTTTTCTTTTTCTTTTTTTAAAGTAAGCAGATGTCAGCTGTTTAAACCCTGGCTATTCTACACTGATCAATAGGAAAGCATTTTATGCATGGCTAACAACAACACAGAAAGCCAAAGTACCAAAATTTTACCAACCACCTAATTAGAGAGCATTTTACCCTCTTTAAATGATAAGCAGATATTAGCATAGATCAAATGCCAAAAACAAAAATACAAAAAAAATACATAAAAGATTTATCTTACATAAAAGATTGGGAAAATGGAACTTGCTGATCAAAACTAGTCTTTGCTACCATATATGGGATGAGACAGAATTTATACTTTAATGACATGAAAATGTTATCATACACAATTAGAAAAATGAGAAATATCATCAGCGAGATATTGTGTGTCTAAGATTAGCACAATATCCCTAACTAACTGCACCTTACATTAAAAAAAAAAAAAAGAAAAAAAAAATCTGAGCATATGATTAGCTGACGGACAAAAATTACACTATTAGAAATTCATTATCTCTCTCTGTGTATGCAGCATTAATCACAGTCCTAAAATGAGAATCACTGAATATCAGAAGCAAAATTTATATTATAACCAAGCTGTGCTATTTTAAAATAGTGTTGAAAAAGTGGTAAAAATCATAGGGGATTCAAGAATCTATTAGGTTCTTCGTTCAGTTTTGCTACACCTTATTATGCATATCCATTATTATCTTTAACATTTATCTTGACTTACAGTACCATGGCAACATATGGCTGTTGTATTTCAAGACTCTAACTTAGCTTTTGATTTATAGTCCATCCATAAAGAGATTTTCATACTAAGAAAAATACAGCATACTTCATTAAATATACATAGACTAATATAGTTTTTCATGAAATCTGTAAGTCATGTCATCATTACATTAATATCCAAATAACGTTCCAGACCGGATTTGTTTTCAATTAGTGAGTTATAGCCACACATTGCAATACATGTGATAAGTCAAATATTTACACTATGTTATTTTATGATATAATATTTTAAAGAAAATATAAATATTACATCACAAAATTATATTAAATAATGCAGTACTTTTTAGAGTAATACAAAATTAACCCTACAAGGTTCACTTTTCAAATATCTATTGGACTGAAAATTTAGCATGTGCATCCTCAAAATACACACAAATCATAAGATTTCAACAAAACTCAAATGCTGTATCTTCAGTTTACATATTTGAAGTGAATTGTACATGAAATGTATATAAAAACAAATCTGAAAACTAGCTACAGTCAGCTTTTCATGGAAAAAAGCCATACTCGATTTCTTCAGATTGTGTTTTGATGTGTTTTGGTACGCTGACCAAGTGGAATATATCGTGATCTACTGACCGACAGTCCAGATTTATCTCTCTGACTGTGCCTCAGAAGCAACTTCAGACCAACCAACTCAGCTGCGTACAGTCTGCTAGGAGACGCTAATATCAAAAATATAAGGTCAAGAGGGACACAATACTAATTAGAAGAATGGGTGTCTTTGATGCCTTATGAGCTAAAATCATGAAGTTCAAGCAGGGAGAGAAAGAGCAATATTTTAAGGTCACAGCTACACCCAGGCATGAAAAAGTAGCCATAAAAGTTATTTGAAAAGAGCAAACTAAATCTGATTCAATTTAGATCAGCTCTTGCTGTTAGAAGTCTGATATCATTTAAATACTGATGGTTACTGTTGGTCATGGGTAATTAAATGGTTGTTCTTCCAGTGGTGTTTATAAGGTTCATGGCTAATAACTTACCACATGGAGGGCTGGACCATGTGTCAGAAGACAAGTTGTAAATGGACTGTCAGAAAAACAGAAAACTACAGAAAAAAGAAAATATAGAACTTCCCATGACATTTCCCTGAAAACTCAGCTCAAAATTACATAACTTATCAATGATTTTATTATAAATTGCAGTTCTTCTTTTTTTTTCCTCAAGTAAAGGCTCAATTAACCTTCCTACTTGGTAGAACATTTTTAATGCAGACTATACACCAAAGGATTTACGGAACTTTGCCATCCAATTACAAACACAGACAAAGGTGAGGGAAAAAAATGAAGGCTGAGAAGGAGTTAGAGAACAAAGTTGTCAACAAGAAATTTTTTAAAACAAATATTCAGTCAAAAAATTAAATTTTTGTAATTTGGAACAAATTACAAAAAAGCTTTTCCAAATACTATGCCAAGGCTGCATTATAAGGGCAAAGACAAGACTGATAGCTGAAGAGGAAAAAGGCAGCAAAGAAAAACTAATGTATGAACCTCATTTAATTCACAGGTTTTGAAAACCCTAGGCTTCACCTTGGGCTGCAGCCCAAGGAACCTGTCCAACTACATGATGATCAAGTTCAACTTCCTCCATGAGTGAAAGTAGGAAATATAATTCTACATGTGCTCAGAAACAAGACAATTAAGGCTCAAAACTGACCATAAATTAATTGCTTTTGCCCAGATCAACATGAGGAAGATTTTAGCAAATGGAGATACGAGACTGAAATGGATGCAGAAGACTGATAAAAGTCTTTTTAGTTTAAGATGTCACCAGTTCAATTAGAAATTGTACTAGGGTTGCACTGATTTGTCTCAATATAAAAGTACTCATCAGGGACTAAGAAATTAATTCAAAGTAAGTTGAGGTGTCATCATGATTTTATGTGATCAGGAGGAATGGAAAGCTAACAAAGAGGAGTGAAGATCCTAACTACATACACACTGAAATCAATGCAAAATCTTATAGGATTATTCTAAATTGTTTTAAGGTGTTAAAAAAATATACTAACTTTAACTAATGTTCATGTGTTGGCAACAATAGTATGGATAAAGCAAAAAAGATTAGGGAAAAAAGAGGAGGGTGAGAAAGTGAATGTGCAGGTAGTCCCATAGAACAAAAAACTGGCCCTGAACAATATCACATTCACATAGCGGAGCAGCAGCAAAACCTTTGCTTGGGACCAAATGTAAGTTTCAGTTCAGACCAGGGTTCTCAAACAGACCCTGCTGTGGTAGCAGGTGTATCCACAGGAAACATGTTGTGACCAAATCAACCACCAATACTGTACTTTTCTGAGGACTGTGTAACCATGTAATGGCCACATAGGAAGACCCTAATCCCCACAAGTAGTCCAAAGGCTGCACTTCAAAATCACAGGTTTATGCAGGTCACTGTGCTAAAGATTCCACTGGAACCAGTGGGAAAACCTTTCATCAGGAGAAGGATGGAGGTTGGGCTCAAATCACTGCAGAGCTGAGCAACCTGGTCTAATCTTGTAGCAGACGCAGCTTAGAGCAGGAAGCTGGACTAGAGACGTCCCGAGGTCTCTTCCAAGTTGAGCTATACTGTGATCCAAAGTGTACCACTGTGTGACAGAAAATAAGCAAAACTCTGCTCTCAGCAATATGCTTGAGTATAAATAGTGGAGTTTTTTCGGTTTCCTACCAATTTACAATATACTGAAACAAGTATGAGACAATTAATAAATGCCACCTATAATGTAAGCAAAGAAAATGGAAAGCCAAATTATTTGCTTACTTTAAACAAAAGAATTTTGCATTTTAGAAGTAACTGATTACGGTATAAGTAAATTTTACAAAATATTTTTCATGGACTTGATGATATTTTTGGCATTTCAAACACTTTACACTTCTTTTTAAACACAAATATTAGAAATAATGAATGGCAAATTACAGCACACTGATCTGTACACTTTGGAGTACGACCAGCATCTGAAATTAATCTCAAAGGAATCTTCAAGAAAGAAGAGAACTGCAAGAGCAGTTCCTAAATTTTGGAATCTGACCTGGCAGGATTTCTATTGTCTTGAAATCTCATGAGATACTTGTCTTGACCTAAAATCTCACAAGCCTTCGGGAGACATCTGTTCACAGAAACTAAGAGATTGTTGTATGAAGTCAGTTCAGAGCTTGCTAAGCAGAGAATGTTTCCATCAGGAAAAAAAAAAAAAAAAAAAAAAAAAAAAAAAAAAAAAAAAAAAAAAAAAAAAAAAAAAAAAAAAAAAAAAAAAAAAAAAAAAAAAAAAAAAAAAAAAAAAAAAAAAAAAAAAAAAAAAAAAAAAAAAAAAAAAAAGCCTTGATTTCTGAAAATGGAAGTCTTCTCATGGAACATACAATGCAGTTCTTAAACAGCAGATTTACCAGATCATGGATGGAATTTCTGATTAAAAACAGAGAGACCCTGACCACTGCAAACTGTTATCACTGAATGCAGGGAACCTTTGACTGCACTCAGGAAGACAGAGGTTCACATCCTACATAACACACATTAGGACTTTAATCTGTCTCCTACATACACCCCAGAGATATGCTGTAATTACTGAACTTTTCTTGCTGGGGCAAATAAATCTCCCTACCCCCCAGTTTTTTCAAGAGAGAGAAAAAAAGTCTCAATATTATCCCACTTTGGAACTGAAACAATTTTTGAAACTGAAAAACTTTTTGTGGGTGGGGAAAACCATTTCATACCCAGCTCTATCTTTAGAGTTAAAGCTGCATTATATGTCCACAGTCAATGACAGAAAATTATAACTGCCAAATTTTGTAAACACAAGCATGTGAGCCGAATCCAGAGTTTCTTGAACAGTAAACACCAGATGTTGATAAGAACAAGTTCACTTATCTCTGTATCCCATCTCCAACAATATCCTGTTGCAAAGGCATGCTTGTAGGAGTGTAAGAAACATACCATGCAGAGAGTGATCTTTTCTCAGTATAACACCTCTACTTTCAATAATTATTTTACAGACTTCCTGTGTTATAAAGGAAGGTAAATCCCCTAAATTAGCTGTAGCTGGGCAGAGGAAAAACAATTTTTCCAGGGATATTTCGGTGGGGGTTTTTTGGGCTTCGTTTGTTGTTTTTTGGTGGCTTTTTTACTGATTGCATCTAGTGATCTGTCTATGTCCTCATGCTTGCAGCTTTGCAGCACATTTTCAACCTTATTTCTGAAAATGCGGTTCTTATTGCTGTCGTAAATTGACATAAGGTATGCACCCATTCACCATCAGTGAATAAATTATTATTCATACCCATGGAATAAAAATTTGTACGAAGAATTTGTTGTCTTCGATACCCCCACATCACCTCCGTCTTTGCAAACAATGCTGTCACAGAGTGAACTGGATCATCCTAAAGATCCATCAGCATTCATGCAGTGAATAGCATGAAGGGCAATTGAAGTGAGTCAATATTGATTTACTGACATAACAAAACTGCAGAAATGTTTATGTTAAGAGTAACACCGACACAGACACACTATGCACATTTACACAACTGAACACTTAATGATATCTAAATAAATATATATCAGATGGAAAGAACAATTATTTTCCACCAAGGGTGGGATTCAATCCTGGTGACCAAAAGACAAAAAGATCTTTACCAGAGAGGTGCCCCAAGAATCAATTTGTTCCCCAGAAAATGCAGTCTGTTAGAAAGGTGCTAACAGCTTTGGAGACTGTCCCAGTACATTAACCCTGTAAGTGAGAAGGGGGAATCCCTCATGCCTTCTGCAGTCCAACATTCTGTATTGATTAAAGAAATAAAATCACTTTCACAGTCTGTGTACATTTTAGAGCTAAATACAAAACCATGAGTTAATGTTATGAGCCTAGAATTAATTTAATTTTAAACAATATGAACCCTAGCCATCTCTCCCACCCCTTCGAGACAGAAGTTTCTTCCCTCAGTTTTTTGATTCATAGCTCTAAAACTTTTACTTGACCTATATAAATAGCTGGTAAAAGAACTATCAACCACATGGATCAGGTTTTAAATAGGAACATGACACCGCCAGTGAGTTATACAACTGCCTGAAAGATAGCAGTGAACTGCTCAATATTGGATTCCCAGGATCTATTCCTGACTCTCAGAGAGGAGTGTGCTCTACTGGCTAATGATAATATAGTCACTGCAATGAATTTGGCCTATTTATCCTGCAAACACTGCTGTAAGCTGAATGAAACTTGCTTCTCTCTAGGCTTGTCCATTCCACTATGTATATAAAGTAAGAACTAATGTCAAGCAAAAGAACCTTTGTTCTGCAGTAACACTCACACAATACATAAAGATTCAGAAATCTCTTCATGAAGAGGAATAACACATCTCCTCTTAGAGCACTTCTCACAACCAAGCACTCCTGGTGTCAGGTATGCCAGTTTCCCACAAAACGTACAGCATTGTTGGAATGGTACAGTTACATTAGGGTTTTATCCCAAATGCTGCAAGCATTAGAATTTTATAACATTAAAGAATAAAAAGTATCTTATTCTATTTATCAAAATAATGCAATTTATTATAATTATCACCTAACATTAGGTTGAAAGATAATATATGAAACTTGTTACCTGGATTGTGTCGGGCAATATAATCAAATGCCCAACATGCACCTTCTTTGACTCCTGGGTCAAAGTCTTCCAAGCAAATCACCAGTGCTTCCAGTGCTCCACACTGAACTACTGCCTGAGCTAGCTGTGGAGAATGTTTAGCAATCGCTCTTAGCACAAATGCAGCTGTTTTCTTGTAGTAACGCTAGACAAATCAGAAAAAAAAACAAAACAAACAAACTTTCACTAACATTAAGTAGTTCAAAGCATAATATAGTACAGACGTGCCTAAATTAGACTTTTTTAGCAGCAGCAATATCTCATACTGATCCAAATCAGGACCAGTAGACATCACACAAACAACAAACCTACAGTTCTTTGAGACAGTTCACAATCTAAAATCTACAGTAAGGGCATAAACAAACAGAAAAAATGAGAGGGCCAAGAGGATATGGGGAAAAGATAATAGTATAGATAAGTCTGTTTGTTCAAGTGAGTAGTGAACGACAAGAGCTGCAAAAACAATAGCTCTTAACATATTTATCCAGATTACACAGGTTATGCAGGGCAAGCTCCTAAAATCATTCTATCCATCTGTGATACTAGCAAGGTTTTACAATTTCTAATGCAGATACCCTCAAAACATCTCTATGAGAAAACATTGTTTACATTTACAAACAGGAAACTGAGAGCATTAGATCCAATAAAATGGTTTAGGATCTGAATCATGAAATGCCTAAATACTGCCCAAAACCCACAGCTAAGATCCTGAAACCCATCCCTCCCACACCCAATCCTGAATGACCCTACATTTTGACCAAGCACCCTGCAATTTTACTCCTGCATGTGTGCAGAAACAGCTCACTTTGTACAGGACTAAGCACTTGGGCACCTCTGTCATAAGTGCAAGCAAGTCTAAGGTCTTGTCTCTGTTCTGTCCATCTTCCTCAGTGCTGGACCAATAAATGTTTGAGCATGGACATATAATATATGACACTGCACAATCACAGGGTTCCCATGTAAACTGCAGCAATAGTTGTAGTTTCTTCTAAAAGCATAGGAAAAGTCTTCCCCCAAAAAGTGACATTTCAGTCTCCTCCTGCAGTTTCTTAACTCTCACTGGGGTATGGAAGCTGAACATTAAGTTTCTTCCACTGCTTTACACTTTCAAAATCTAGAGCCCAGGTAATGTACTCTAGCCAGAGAAAACCGTGTTGTGAGACAGTTCTCATCCCTCATAGGGGACATAAGTAACCTACTGCTAAGTTCATGTGCCCAGAGTACACTCTCCAGCCTGGCCATTGACAGATCATCCTATGGGAAAGCTCTAGAGGACTCTTCTTCCATGTACCACTCGGCTTTGATCTCATCCCAAAATGATTGATTCTCCCCTGCTCTGCACAGGGAGCCTGGCCACTTTACAGTGCTAGATTCCTACTCTCAAGGTACCCAAAATTTAAACATTGCAAAGCCCACATCCCTTTTGGATCAAGTCCAGAAAAACAAAGAACCACGTGAGTGCTTTTGTGCATCCTGTAAAGTGCCCCAACACCTTTAAAAGTCTGATCTAAAGCACTAAGGTACGGCAACCAAGAAGTACCTGCAATGGCCCCACAGGAAGCAAAGTGGACCCAGGCCACTCCCTGGCCCTGAAGGAAGGTGACACAGCATATCCCATTCATCCACCTGAACTCCTCCTTCCTCAAAGCACAATGGCCTCATCTATGCTACTGGAAAACTATCCCTGCCTTGTGTTACCTTTAAACCACGTCCAGGCATTGTTGAGTAGTCTGATGGCTGGCATTGGCTAAAACCACATCAGAGAGCATGGTAATGATTAACAAGCACAGTCATCTTCCAGTGCTCAAACACATGCCCTTACCTTCTTTAGTTTACCAGTACTGATATAATTCTTTAATGCCAAAAATCCAGTCTTCTAAGTTAAGGCCTACAAGCAGGTACATTAAATATAATTTACAAGCAAAGCATTAAACCTCATTTAGGGGGAACAGAAGTTAAGGGAAACAGAACAGACAAATGGTCAAATTCTCAGATAATTTAAGTTACCCTAAATTTTGATGAACTCAGTGGAGCTATAGTTTTTTATATCAGTCTATGTCTGTGCAAATATGGGTATGCTATTTCTGTTAAGTAATTATGCTCCTGGCAAAGAAAAACACTTATTTGTTTTTATTATTCAAAACACATTATTTACAAACAAATCATATTCACAGGCAACAGTCAAAACACACTGTAAAACGGGACTTTGCTCTGTTTAATTGATAAAACACTGATCTGGGATGTGACCCTGTAACTGTTCTCCATAAATCAGTGGAAATAGTATTCATTGTGTACTCAAAGAATCTCATCCTTAAATATAAGACGTTGATGCATTACCAGTGAGTGGAATGGAAATGTGGGTTTTTTGCCTAAGAGAAGTGGCAAACTGTATGCATTACTAAACTCTGCATGAACTGGATAATGAGTTTCACTTGCTCTCAGTCACCAAGGCATATTAGGCTTTCCATGACCTCAAACTAGTCTTGCTGCTGCCCCAAGTAATTCTAAATTACAGCTATCTGAGTGTAATGACAGCATGGGCAGTAACATGGAAGAGATAAATCAGGGTACTCCAGCTAATTTAGTGAGAGGTTTGAGTTGTAGCAGGGGACAGTTTCCAAACCAACACAGAGGGTAGTTGTGTTCCACTTCTTCCCTTAAAAATAGAAATAAAATAACCAAAATGCTTATAAACTTGTCTAATTAAAACCTTAACTTTCTTTCCATGCTACACCAGTATCTTGCCATCAAAGTTTTTCTTTAGCTTTTTTTTCCCCATGATTAATGATTCTATTTGCACAAAAAATATGCAATGAGTACTTACATCTATGTTTCCCTCAAAAGACTGAAAATTAAAATATATAGTTTCCCAAATTGTATTTCCATTGAAAACCTACTTCTTCTAAATCAAAAGTGCAACCTTAGTATGGCCATGATATCAGTCCACTTAACTCTCGGCTGTCTCTCTCCAGTTTTTAGGAACCTTACTAGGAAGTATTTCAGTTAATCTAGGTTAGCATCACTGGAAAATCAAAGCTGGAGGAGACATGGAGCTTGAAGAAAAATGTGTAAAAGGGAGTAAAAGAGACCACCAGATGTATTTGCATTGCAATTGTGACTATAGTCTATACTTTGTTTGGTTTTGACAAATATGAAAACGAAAACCTTTCAGTATATATATATATATTATACATATACTGAATATATATATATATTTTTCCTATGCCGGTGGTTTGATGTTTCTCATGCTACAGATTTCCAAAAGCCTGTGTTTGGAGATATTAAATATTTCATTACAGAAGTTGGGGGGTTTATATGTATTTTACAATTGTCTGGTATTACTGACAAATCCTAGTCACTTATCACCCCAGCTTTCAAATAGTCTCAGTTTTAAAGAAGGAGCTTTCACAAAGCAACATCCAACATTTTAAAAACATTTCAGTGCAATGAATGTATTTCCTATAGTGCGTTAAACAGTAATATGATATTTTAAAGTCAAGCTTATTGGAAGTCAAACTTAAGCACACAGTGATCTTGCAGAAGTTCAAACACACACATGCTGCTCTGACTTCAGTGCATTTAATGTCATATTAGAATAACAACAGATGCTGATACAGAAAGATTTCCCCTTCCCTGTGCAGTAGTAAAAAAAAAAAATATTACTTAAGAAAACAATCATGCCTTACATTCTCCTCAGGCAATGAACACACGAGCTGTGGAAGAATGCCTGCCTTCACAATTGCCTCTGCCAAGTCCACATTATAATCAGCAAGTCTCCCGAGACCCAAGGCAGCAGTCTGTCGAACACTTGGGACAACATCCAGCAAAAGAGGTCTCAGCAAAGACACTACACCTGAGGTACAGCAGGAAGAGAAAATCCCATTTGGTAAGCAGACATATTTCTAAACATTTGCCTTTATTCATAAAAACCTACTCTTCCAGGTAATAAGAATATGTAGGAAATCCAGGTGTTCTGCTGAAATGAAGTTGGCACTTGGATAGCACTGCTGTTTCTGACTGTTTTTCATAGGTACAAAACAATTCTGAAATATAAAAAAGTCACATGTAGAAATAAACTGTATTCAAATATCTGTAAAATACATGTCTTAAAGTTTACATGAGAAAATAAGGTATATTCAAACATATATAAAATGCATGTGTTTACATATTCATGGAAAACTCCATCCAGAGGCCCTGGTGAGAAGACATTGTCTTGTCACTCATTTATCATGCCAGCAGAACCTCTACACTGAATTACACCAAATTACATTTCATCTGTTATAAGCAATGACTTGATTTGGAGACCAAAACCCACATTAAATTACACTCCAGATAGAAGAGTTGAAGATTTTCTTATCATGTTATTATTTATGACGTGTTTCCACTTCTGCCTTCACAGTGTATCAGTTAAGCATAAAGAATATGAAAGTACCAGCAAGGGGAACTATAAGTAACCAGAAACTGAATGACTGGATAACAAAATGGCAAGTGACATGGAACTCAAACAGGATACCCAACCCCAACCTTTTATATGCAATGATGGACCCCGAACAGATTACTATCAACCAGAAGAAAAATCTCACTGTAAGAACAGACAGTTCTGTGGAGATAGCAGCTCTTGCTCAGTAGCAGAGAAGAAACTTTACCCACAGAAGTACACAGGGTGTTCAGGACTATTTGGAAAGGGGTAGAGGCCAAAGCAGAGACCATCACTATCCTACATTTAATACCATCCAGTAGAGTGGAACTGAAAAATGTACAGTTAAAGGCAACAAGGATGATCCAGGATGACCAATCTGTATCTGAAAGCTCCTTCTACAGTTAAACTAAGACTCTTCAATAAGGATAGAAATGAGATCCACTTGGTTACATAAAAAATGTGATTTGTAAGGTCTGGGAAGGGAAAAATCACTTGTATTGTGATTCTTGAAATGTGCTTTCCCTCTACCAGCCAGCTGCATGAATTAACACTTTAGAGCTTTATACCTCAGCCAGAAAGCAGAGCTCTCCGAAAATGCAGATATGCTACAACTGAATACTGAACTCTCAGAGCTACACAGATTATCTTCACATCAGCTCTCTCAGTCCTTTCCACAACATAGTTTTGGTAACGAAAGGAAAGATTTAGTTGAGCGACTGGGGAAGAAAGCAAGACTTCCTTCCCCAAGGACTCCTGCGGTTATTAGCAGTGAGCAAAGGTCTTTTGGTGCGACAGTCCCACAACAGGGAATCACGGCCTAATGGAAAGTAACGCCCAGGCGTTCAACAGGCACACCATGACAAAGAAAAGCTGAGGACCTCAGAGCAGGGAATAGTCCAAAGGAATGGAGGCTACAACAATTACATCCATAGCATACTTCCTTATACAACGACACTGAAAAGAAAAGAAAAAAAAAAAAAAAGTAAGTTGAGCAGCAATATAATTCTCACCTTTATTTTACATCAAAACCAATTGCTCCAAGAAAGAAGAAAATAACCTAATAATCTATACATGGCTCTGAAGGAGCTGGGAGTGCAGAGGCAGAAAAACTAACCATGGAGGCCACGCTGCCCACTAATGAATTTGTGGGAAGGTCAATACTCCAGACAAAAGCTGCACTGTCATGAGAGGTACAGCCTCCCAGCATGTTCACGAGTCAGAATAAAACAGGTCTCAGGGGGGTACACAGTAAAAGGAGAAAAGAGAAAAGTAAAATGAAATTGTGGTTTCTAACAGCACTACAGAAGCACCAAAAATGGCTCTGTAATATGCATTAATTGAACATGGACGTGTAGGACCTATGGAACAGGTCTGCAATGTGCTGGTGCCTGCTCACACTTCTGTCAAAGCCACTGGGAGCTGAAAGAGGCCTCCTGTGTACAGCTGACAAAAGATAGATCCTCCAGTATTGTAAGATCAACGTGAATTCATTTAGCACTTTGCAGAAGTCACTACTTAGAAATGCGGTCATCATATTGACATTTTCTCACAAACTCCCAAATAGCAGGTTTGGTCTCATTAGCAAGTTATGCTTCATATAAAAAAATGCACTAAGTAATTTATATGACAAATTAAAAGTAAAAGCAAATGAGTTGGGACCAATACTATATATCATCTGTTATCTTCTCGTAAGTCATCTGCACCCTCTGTGGGAGGGCATTTCTTGTCCTTCCCTCTAACATCAGTTGCATGGTCAAACTGCTGCTGAAATTCCTAAGTGGACCTCATGCTGTTCTGACTCTGTCTACACTGAAGGTATTTCAGTGAAGCAGGAACAGTTAGAAGTAGTTCACTTGCATTTAGTGTACACATATTACATTTTACTTGAGATGATAATATGAAATAAGATTATGTCATAAATTTTAAAAAGAAAAAAAATTAGTTTTATTGATACAAAAGAGACTGTTAGAAGTGATTGAGGGAGAGGGAAAGGAACACTTCACAGTGCAGTGTCCTGACCCTAAAAAAGCCAAGACCTGATGGCTGGGACATTGAACTAGGATATGTCCAACTGGTAACGTCAGTTCTGGTGATGGTCTCGAAATTCACTGAAATTTAAACAGATTAGAATCACTTTACCCAGGAGCTAGGTCCGGACCACATGACGCATTTCTGGTCTTTGTGACATAGCTACACACTGCAAAATGTAAAACCACATACAAGAAAGTCACACATACATACACTTTGAGTTGTCCCAAATATGAGATTTATATAATTTGTATTTTCAAGATTAGCTGATACAGATTTCACTTTTTAGAACAGGGTAAAAAGCCTTGAATCTGAAAATATTTCCATGCAGCATGCCTCCCCATGACCAATACCATTCATTTCATGGCAGTATAAACTTTGTAAAGTTGGGTAATAACATTTAAGCATCAGCACAAAATGTTCTACTGTGAATTATTTTAATTGGTACAGCTTAAAGTGAGGAAAAAGATGAAATGTAAAATGGGAGTTACTGTTTGAAGAAAGAGCACAAGATGCTACAACAGGGTTAGAAAAAAAACAGGTTTAGAAATAACAGCAATTGTGCTGATCCTCAAGGAGACTATATTTTCTTAAAGTGATGTCTGAATGTGAAAAGAGACAGTGGACAAATAATTATCATAGAGAGAATTTTCAAGGAACAAGACAAAGAAAAATCAATTCCTGTTGCTGTACAAGCCTTATACTGACACCAAATTAACTAAGAATTGAGAGAAGTGCATAGGCCTAGATTATGCCTGCACTTTGACATAATTAAAAACTTTTACCTTTACTTTCCACCTTCTCTTAAGACCACTTTCTTTCTTTGTGTTGAAATGCTATCCATCATCTCCAACTACTCTGTAAGACCAAAGATGTGAGCAGTTTTCACCACAGTCATGATTTTTACATCTTCAGAAAACATAGTATTTCTTTCTTTACAGCACTTTTTAAAAAAAATAATTAATTCTGACAGCATGGAAACAGCTACACAGATTCTATAGTCTCCACTAAAACACCTATAGGAAAGCCAAGATATCCACCTTCTCTTCTGACTTTTGAAGATAGTGCTGAGAAGGGCAGATGTGCCTGAAACAGGATGAAGCTTTCTGGCACTGTCCCCTGCTCAACTCTTTCTCCCAGAGTCATCTGTGTTTGGCGAGCTCCTCAATTTGATCTCTTCCTTTCAGCTATCCTGACTACAGCTAAGTTTACCCCTCTTCTCCAAAGAGGTCCAAGCCAGGAATCCTATCAGCATTTTTAATTAAATTCAAATGTATCTAACATTATCTTAGAGTGGAAAAATAGGCAAGAACCTTCCAACAACTTCCTTTTACTTTACCATTCACTCAAGTGAACAAGGCCGTACAGATCAGGGAGTAACAATGTCTTGCTGCTGAAACTTTAGAACTCTTAGGTCTTCTTCCAAATAAGTCTGTTGTGACAGAAGTAGGAAATTCATTAACTCTAATTCAAAGGCAACCACACACAAAGTAAACTACAAAATAAGGCATTTAGACCATTGCACTAGATTTGTTTTGGAAGAGTTCCCACTAGCACTCAGAAACTGAGTAACAAAGAATTACTGCCAAATATTCTCTCTTGCATCACAGAACCTTGACTGACCTTGGGCAAGGAATGATTCCCCTTTCTATCCTCAGTTTCCCACTCAGATTTGTTTTAAATAATGACACACTTTAGAAGCTGAATCACACACACTTCTCAAGTGGAGATGTTATACAGGCCTGATGTACTTTCTTTTAGCAAGTAAGTGCTGGCTGCTGCTTATCTGGGAAAAAAAATCACTCAGAGCAGCAGTAGGTTCCAAATTTTTTTCTTTTTTTTTTTTTTCCAAGTTTCTGTAGCCAAACAAATAGTCGCTATTCTGGAGATAGCAATCTTTGCTTAGTCATCTTGATTTCTTGGGGAAAACCATCTGGAATCTATGCAGAATACTTCTACCCTCCTCCCATCCCCATCAAATCCTTATCAAACTTGACTAATCACAAATCAGAGAAACATCACTACAGTGGAAATTCTTTCCATTTCTGCACCTGAAGATGACCGCTCCTACCCTATTCTCCTTCCTTAAAGGAAAGTTTATTTCTGTTTTAAAATGTGGGATAAAGTCATTTTACACTACTGCTGTTTCTGGACTCCCTCTTATCTTGAAGATTCTGTCCTTCTTTGGATCAAAGATAACATCTCATTTTAGCGTGCTACCTCTCACATTAAGAACATTTACTGAGCTAACACTGGCACTCACACATTTATCATATGAGCTTCATTTTCCAGAGCTCCTCATGTCAAATTCAGCTGAATTAACAAGGAAATACAATGGAAATTTATTTCTGCCTCATCCCAACTCCCTATCTTCAACTGCCCTTTGTTAGAAGCAGCATAGCAGT